TCTTCTGAAGCAAATAATTTTTAACCCTCCCCTGCCCATTATCTGGGAGCTACAAAAATGGCTCTGAAGAATTGCAAGTACTCCTTTAGGGAGAACACATTTCCAGATAGATATTGAGCTAAATTTGAAAATCTGAGTATCTTCAAAGCAATATCTCTCTTTCCTATCAAGATTCAACTTCAGTTTCTTGGCCTCACCCACTTCATGAATGTCTAGACTTCCACAGTGACACGTCTAATGATGTAAAGTAAGAGCCATCTGCATACTAATGACACCTCACTCCACTCCTCCCCCCCCCCTTCATGAATTTAAACAAAAGCTTCATACAGACTAGTGTTTACTCTCCTGGAGTTTTGGAGTTCTGGTCCCAGAATTCCTGACAATTGGTCAAGTTTTCTGGGAGTTTATCCAAAAAAAGCTGGAAGACTAAAGTTTGGGAATCACTGAAGTAGTTGCTAGATGCTCATGTCAATAATTTTATGGGAATAAAGATGGACCTTATGGGACCCAGAAATTCAAATCAAGTAAATGCACACACACACACACACACACATACATATAATACATACATACATAAGCTATGTATAGAATAGAGAAGAATTAACACCCCTGTAGCATTTGTTTTGCTCTCTATGCCCCTGTTCAGAAGATTTCACCTCACTTTCTTTCCCTGTGATAATTGGATTTGGAAAAAATTGGCTTGTTGGGGAAACAAGAATTGGCGATAAGATTTCAATGAATACACCTTTTCATCATGACAAGTCTCTCAGAAGTGAATTTCCTTCCAAGGAGTAAATTTCTCTCACTTCCTGTTGTCTCACACCCATTCTCAACTATTGAATTGTTTGTAACTCGGAGACTGCCTTTACTTTCATTAGTAAATCCTTAAGTATACAAGTAAACTGCTTCCAGATGAGATCCAAGTCTTTTTCACAGCCATATAGGGTTAGACCAAATTGCCAGCATCCTTTTCTTGTAGTGGTCAGCCAGGTTTCTAAGGGAAGCCCACAAGTAGGAAATGAGAGCAAGGAGCATAAGATCTTCTTAACACATGATGCACAAACCCATAGTGGCACAATGGGTTAAACCCTTGTACCGGCAGGACTGAAGACCGACAGATTGGAGGTTTGAATTCAGGGAAAGTGCGGATGAGTTCCCTCTGTCAGCTCCATCTCCCCATGTGGGGACATGAGAGAAGCCTCCTACAAGGATGGTAAAACATCAAACATTCAAGTGTCCCCTGGACAACATCCCTGCAGACGGCCAATTCTGTCACACCAGAAGTGACTTGCAGTTTTTCAAGTCGCTCCTGACTCACACACACACACAAAGCACGTGATGCAGAGAGGTGATTGCTTAGAACAAATGCAGCAAAAAAAAAAAAATCAGGACAAACAATGACCATTGGTTCATGAATATTTTAAAATCCAGATAAACACATTTTAAAAATGCATAAAATGAACTGAAATATCAAATTTCACAGGTTCCAATATAAATGAGTGGAAATAATACAACTTTCCAGAGGTCATAGCACTCCGATGCCTGGAAACTCTAGTCAAGCACAGCAAGCAGTGAGGAATGCTGAGATCTGCTGTCCAACAATATCTGAAAAATTACATGATTCCCATTCTTAGTCTGAACTGATTTGGTGATTTGAGAGAGCTGAGTTAGGTTTTTAAATCCAGAAAGAACTAGGCCAAGACTTCTGACCATAGGATCTAACTGGAGTTTCAGTGTACAGTATCTACAAAGGCTTAACAATCTTCTCCAAAAGCCAGGGTATTGCCCCACTTTCAAACAAACCCCATTGCCACACAAGGGATGGCCAAATACACACCTGATTCATGTAGATAAAAGTGGATTTCTAAAATTAATTTGCCTATCCTTGTAGGAGGCTTCTCTCATGAACCAATGGTCATTGTTTGTCCTGATTTTTTTTTTTTGCTGCATTTGTTCTAAGCAATCACCTCTCTGCATCACGTGCTTTGTGTGTGTGTGTGAGTCAGGAGCGACTTGAAAAACTGCAAGTCACTTCTGGTGTGACAGAATTGGCCGTCTGCAGGGATGTTGTCCAGGGGACACTTGAATGTTTGATGTTTTACCATCCTTGTAGGAGGCTTCTCTCATGTCCCCACATGGGGAGATGGAGCTGACAGAGGGAACTCATCCGCATTGATAACAGCCAATCCAGTTTAATAATTAAGAAATGAGTATATAATGCACCTGGATTTTCATTCAGTTGAAGTGCATACAAGCTTTATAAGAAGTTTATAATGGTATGTAATTAGCATACAACTAACAACCTACATTAGGCTTACAACTGATCTTAGGGAGAGTGTGGCTCCCATAGATAGTTAAAAGTAGGACCTTGATTCACACAAGGGAGGGAGATATAGCAGATATGTATCATGTGACTCATGACCACGTGGTCTTTACATATTGTACAATTCCACCTCTCCGCATGCATCCTCTTCCCACTCAGGCCACCTCCCACTGCAATGTCTAATCTAGGTCATTTGTTCTGTAAATTGGCTGCTATTTTTCATTTTGGCTTTGGAGTCCCGTTGCCAGACTCTGTACAACAGAATCAAAGGTTTAAGCTCTCTGCCTACCAAGACACACTCATGCCTATAGGCTAAATAGCTGTCTGCTTTCACAGCCAAGTCACTCACCAATAAAGGATTTAGCTTCCTAAATGGATGGGATTGTTAGAAAGGAAAATAAACAAACTGCACCTCTTTGTTTCAGGGGCACAAGCATTTTCCTGGGATTCCAAATGAACCATGCGATGGGGGGGGGGGGGGGGGGGGGGAGCAAAAAAGCTCTTAGGCACACTTATCAATAGCAGCCTGCCCAGCAGGGCCACCTCGACTGCCGCAATTAAACTCCCAAATGTGCTGACGTGACTGGAGTCCACAAGAAGGTTTGAGTCAACTAAAAGGAAAGCAAGCTAGCAAAGAGCAGCCACAGTGCAAAGCCAGCCTGCAATTTTCAGAGGAAGAACCAGCAATAAAATCATCCCAATTTTTGTCAGCTGTGGATGACAAAATCCCAGTATCTTTCAAGGCCGCAGGGGGGGGAAACCCGAATGCTCACACAGCTGCTACAGAAGGGAGGTAAAGATGGTCTACAGCTGCTCACAGCTGTAAAGATGGACACATGTCAGCTTGATAAATCGGAGGGAATGAATGATGTGCTGCCCATCTGGACAATATGCACACAAGCAGAATTGTTCAGTGCATTCAATATTTTCTCAATTTCAACAGTCAGGAAGAGACTATAAAGCAAACAAATAGGCTGTAAAAATTGTCCCATGAGATGATATTTCTCCCCACCCCAACCCCTGGCTTGCAATCATCTATAAAGATTCACACAGCCCATCTCCATCTCACAGACATTTCCTCATGCCATGGTCTAAAATGCTGCATCCTTCAGGAGAGAAGAGAAACTGCTACAGATTGCATGCTGCAAAACCACTGAGAATTATACAATCACAATAAACCAGGCTTTGGACGTAGGCCCAGCCAACACATCAGAGCCTCTTGCAGCTCCAGACGAATCCTGGCACTGGGAACAGACGAAAGATGCTTGTGGTGACACTGCCCATAAGCAAGAGCCCCATTTCACTGGAAAGGAGTTCCTGGCAGTGCTTCCTCCCAAAGACAAATCACTGAGCCAATGGCTGCTTTGCCAACTACACCCCCACCTCCATAGCCAGCAGGGTCTCCCAAGAACCAGCAATCCTGAGAAATTAGGATGTCCTAATCAAAACAAACAACAACACAAAACACCTCCCTCAACTCAATGGCAGCCTTTGCAACTGTGTATGAGAAGGAGGAGCCTTAGCATTTGAAACTACCTCCAGGACCTGACCCCAAGGGCAGAGCAAATGGAGGGCCCTTCCACACAGCCCTATATCCCAGAATATCAAGGCAGAAAACCCCACATTATCTGAGTGCAGACTCAGATAACCAATGTCAAAGCAGATACTGTGGGATTTTCTGCCTTGATATTCTGGGATATAGGGCTGTGTGGAGGGGCCCTAAATCTTATTCAGCAAAACTACTCTGGGGGTCCCATGACCTGAGCTCAGCACGTCAAGGAGGAGGTGAGAGGAAAGGAGACAAATACGCAGGGCCTGAGTGTCCCGGTGTGACGCCATCAAACCCAAATGTGGGCTTCAATAGGCTCCTTTGACAAGCAATAGCCCTGGATAAGGACATTCTGAAAGGGCAAACCAGGATAGACCTTTCTGAGGCAGGCGCAAGGGGTTCAAGAGAGCTTTTTTTTTCTTGCAAATCCAAGCAAAAGAAAATCCCATCCCCCTTAAAAAGCAGGTAGGCCTTTTGGCACCTGACCTTGCTTTAGGAGGAGAGGCAGGTGCTGCATTTCACCGTGAAATTGGTGCTGTGGCTTTCTCAGCCACATTTGCATCCTTCTGCTTCCCATTTGCCTCCTTGAGCCCGAGGGGAAAGGCAGGCAGGCAAAGGCATGGAGGGGCTCCCTTTGGCAAACGCCATTCCCACCCCTAAAGAGAGCCAGGGGCCTTTCAGCAGCCCCCTGCGAGGAGAGAGGAAGCCCATTTCACCCTGGGAATCCTGCCGCAGGCGTCCTGCGGGGGATCTAGAAAGCCTTGTCAGGTCAAGGGCAGCTGGGGGGAAGCAGGCTCCTGGTCGCCTCAGGAGGCGTCGAAGGAGGAGTCCCCCGTGATCTGGGGCCATGACCAGCCCTACTGCGGGGCCACGGAGAGAGAAAAGAGGCGGGAAGGGAGGCTGGGAATTGGAGGAAGGGGAAGAGGGCCAGGGAGGAGGAGGAGGAGGAGGAGGAGGAGGAGGAGGAAAAACCGGGTGGGCCCACCACCACAGCTCTCCGAAGGGGCAGAGGAGGGGGCGTTGGTTGCCTCCCTGTGCCCCCTCCCCTCGGAGGTGAAAAGGGGCCCTTGGAGAGCGGCGGGCCGAGGGGACCCCCCTCTCCCCCCCCCCCTGCCTTCCCTGGCTTACCTGCCCACGGTCTGGTTGGCGAGCTGCCGCATGCGGTTGAATTGCTTCTTCATGGTGGCGCCCTTGCCTTTGCCCGGAGCGCGGGGTGGGGTGGGCTGAGGGACGCGGAGCCCGCTTTGGGAGGAAGGAGAGGCCAGGACGACGAGGAGGAGGAGGCGGGAGGGCGGACACGGCGGCGGCGGCTACATGGCCCTTCGCGGGGTCGCCTCTCTTCGGCGCGGAGGCAGGGAGGGAGGGGCGCGGGAAGGGACCAGGCGGCGGGGGGGGGGAGGGGAGGGGGGTCCTAGCGCTGCAGCGGGAGCGGAGACAGCGGCGCCGGCCACGGGGGGGAAGGAAGGGGGCAGCCCCCAGCCAGCGCCTCGCCAGCCTCCGGCATCCTCCCTCGCCTCACCTCGCCTCGCCCTTCCCCGCCCGCTCAGCGCATCTTCCCCACCCGCGCAGGGGCCCCCATGCCGCGCCCCCGCCCCTCCTGCTTCCCTCCGATCCCAACGCGCTGCGCTTCGGACCCGGCAGGCAAGGAGGGAGGGAGGCAGGGAGAGAAGGGAAGCGGCGGCGCAGACTGCGGCTGCCCAGCCTGGGGCGCTGGGAGCTGTAGTCCCCTCCTCCTCTTCCTCCTCCTCCTCCTCCTCCTCTGGGCCGCCTCTTTCCTCCGAGGGGGGCGCTGCGGAGCCCAACATCTGGCCCCGCGGAGCACTCGGGAGAACCTTCCCTTCCCCTTCCTTGGGAGAAAGGGTTGGGGTTGCCCCCCTCCTCCCCCACAAAATCCCACACTATAGAAGAACTGTAAATAAATAAGAACTGTAAATAAATATAGAGGAAGAAGGCATCCGCACTGCAGAATGGGGCCAGTTTGACACCACTTCATGCTGTGGAATCACGGGAATGGTCGTTTGCCTCATCAGGCAGCCCAGACCGGGATTCCCTAACACAGGCACCCTCCAACTGCGGCCCTCCAGCTGTTTGGCCTCCAACTCCCAGAATTCCTGACAACTGAACAAGCCCATTAGGGCTCCTGGGAGTTGGAGGCCCAAACAGCGGGAGGGCCACGGTTTGAAGGTGCCTGCCCTAATAATTAGGTCTTGCTCACTACTACCACTGTCCCCTTTTAGAGACAGAGTGCCCTCCTTCCACTTTCCCCCTGATCTGGTCCTCATCTTGTCACCTGCTGTTAGCACTTTATCCATCAACCCAATCCTTTGGCAAGTGACTTGCACCAGTCGCTCTCTCGAACTGTGCACTACTCAGACCTTTGAAGGTTGTTAGATATGTTCGCTATATATTGTATTTTGTGGTTGTTTTATATTGTTGAAATGTTTTTATAAATTTTGTTGTGATATTTTATTTTAACTATGAGCTTGTCCCCATGAGAATCTTGAGCTTGTCCCCATGGAAGCCACCCTGAGTCCCTGCGGGGAAATGGAGGCGGGGTACAAAAATCAAATTATTATTATTATTCCCTAGCCTTGAGCCCTTCGGGTGCTGTCAACCCTCCTTCCTTCACCAGTGCAGGTGCACCCGAGGTGCGGCTTCCAGGGGAAGAAGGCAAGGCTCTTGGGGGCGGGGGGCGGCGGTAGTTCCCAACCTTTTTTGACCAGGGACCACTTGAACCAGGGACCACTCCCCAACATTAGCACCAAAAGGGTAACAAATCGCTTTTTGGTCAATTTTAGATTTGGTTTGGTTATTTGGGGTGCTGATTCAGAAAATTGCTTTGGATGGACCACATCGATCTAGTTTCTAATACATAACAGAACAGTAGTCACCATCTGTTCGCCCACGGAAAACCATATTTAATAATCTAGAGCTGATGTAGAAGTAGTAATCTTTTGTGGGTAGTTAGCCTCTCCCCTCCCAACATCTCTGTTGCCTAAGAGGGTTTCATGAGACCAGTCACTCTTGTTGCCTTGGTGTTTTGAGGCAACAGTGTAGTAATGGTGAGGCCATGGACCATATTTTCATTCTTGTGGACCAGTGGTGGTTGGGAACCACTGTAATAAGCAGAAGTGGCTCAGTAAGAGGCAGCTCCAGATGAGGACATGGGTGATCTTCTCTTATTTTTCTTTTTCTACCATCTCCTCTGCTACTCTCTTTTTTCTCCTCTTCTTAGAATCACAGAGTTGGAAGTGACCACACAGGCCATCCAGTCCAACACCATTCTGCCATGCAGGAAAAGCACAACCAAAGCACCCCTGACAGACGTCCATCCAGCCTCTGTTTAAAAGCCTTCAAAGAAGGAGCCGCCCCCAGACTTTGAGGCAGTGAGCTCCATTGCTGAATGGCGCTTTTGGTCAGGAAGTTTTTCCTAATGTTCAGATGGAATCTCCTTTCCTGTCATTTGAACCTATTCCTCTAAATCTATTGCTCTTCTACCAGACCTTTGACTATTGCTTTTCCTTGAAGCCTCACATGGCTTTCTCCCATTTAACAGTCATACTAATGCAACATTAGAAATCAGAGGCCCTGCAGCCCCTCCAGACTTTGTTGAACTCCCCCATGCCTCAACCAGCATAGCCAATGGTCAGGGATGATGGGTGGTATGTCAACAAACAGAACATTACAGTTATATTGTCTGTCCTTTTACTGACAATATCTCTCAAACATGGTGCCCTCTAAAGCAGGAGTGGTTAAAGTGTGGCCCATGGGCAGCATGTGGCCTCCAGGACCCTAGCACCATTTTTTGGGGGGGTAAACTTTCCCCCCAGATTTGTTTTGTACAAGAGTGCCCCAAAATAACCTCCAGGCAATATGTTCTCTTAAAATAATCCCCAAATGACCTCCCAAATGCCTTCAAATGGTGTGAAAGTTTGAGGCAACTAATTTTGGAGGAGAGGGGGTGTAATGGGATGCACCTCCCAAGTTCACTTGGGATGCTCGCCTTCCTTTCCTTTGAAGGAAATATTAAAGGGCCAAATAGCCACCGACTGTTTATTGCTTTCACTTTAGCATGTAGAGGATAGGACATGTCCCCAGCCAATTGAATGTTTCACGCTGTCAAAGCCATGGCTTCTGTTCAGCGGTGACTCATCTGTTAAATGGGCACAACAGCATCCTCTCTTCCCTGCAGTTCTTGTGAGGGTTAGGTGATGAATAGATTATGGATAGCACTTGCTAAGTGGCTGGTAACTTAAACAATCTAAGACTGATAATTTTCATAAATATAATTTGTTATATATTTAATTTTACACAGAGGAATCGGCTGGATTTCTAGCTGATAGTTTGCTAAAATGTAAAACATGTCAGATCATCAAAGTGCTCTGAAACAGCAAGAGCTGAAAATTGTATTTCAAAGAAACCTGTACTTGAATTATCTAAGATATTGATTGTGTGTGTGTGTGTGCATGATTTTTTCAAACCCCATATAGCAGTGGTTCTCAATGCATGGGTCCCCAGATGTTTTTGCCTTCTACTCCCAGAAATCCTAACAGCTGGTAAGCTGGCTGGGATTTCTGAGAGTTGTAGGCAAAACACTTGGGGACTCAAAGGTTGAGAACCACTGCCATATAGGATACTGATGAAGCAAAGTGCTGGTAAGTTAGTGAATGCTTTGTGAATGCTCCCACCATTCTTAGCAGCTTCTTTTCCAAGCTGGAAATTAAGGCTCATTATTATGGAATCATAGGAATTGGATCTCTGTGAAGCAACAGCACCATTTGACAGAGACGGCCAAATTCCTGTGATCTTATCTAAAGCCCCCATGATTCCATAGCATTGAGCCATGATAGTTAAAGTGGAATCAGATTAATTTTTCAGTGTAGACGCACGTTGGGGTGTAGATGCATGTCATTCATTGAGTCATCATAAATTGAAGATGGCAGTTAACAACAACAAATTTTAATATATTAATCAGCAGGAAGCCTACAACTCTCTGGTTTTCATGACAGTGTAAATAATACTGTGAACTCTCTGAAGAATAAGGTGGAAAGCAGAAGACAGCAATGAATTCTAAAAGCAAGAGATGCACTATTTCTTAGAATCCAAATCTGGCTGCTACTATTCCCATTATCTGTCAGATAGACCTGTGTCAACCAGCTCATTGTGTGGTTGCTTCCTACTTTTCACAGTACTTTGCCAATCTGTGCTGGTTAGTGGAGCAAAACAGGGTCTTGGAATTTTTTGTGGTCTCCAATGATTCAATGTCCAAGTCATAGTGACAAAGAATGCCAGCATAAGGCAAAAGATAGGTAAGTACCCATGCAGATTAAATAACAGAGCACCTTCTGCAAGTTGACAACCGAGCTTTCCAAGGAAACACACCCACAGTTGAACAAACATAAGTAAAAATAACTGGGAAGGTAGAAAGGCAGGAGGAGGCAGGGTGACTCTAAGGTTTCTTGCGGAAAGTGGCATAAATCCAAGTAACTGCTTGCTGGAGAGTATTTTTGGATGTTTGCTTGGCACAACAAGCTCTTGGGGCTCAAGGAGCAGGTTTATTGCATTTTTGCCAAAGTAATTATCATGGAGAAGCTGAGAGATTCAGTGAGGTCAGTGGGTAAAATGTTTAAAGACATGGTGGTGTCATTCCATTCTTAAGGTGATGGATCTTTCATACTTAAGAAGAATATATATTTCAGGGGAGAAGTCTGATACACTGACGGAGAAGCAAATGATCCTTTAGTTCAGTGTTATTTAAAATGGTGGGTGTCAGTCCAAGAAAGAAAGAAGCAAGTGTTGGCACAGTGTGGAAAATGTGGTTCTTCACATCAGATAGCTTGAGAAGGAACTGCCTGAGAAAGGTCACATCACTTGGTGGATGAGTGGTGAATGGTTGGCAGATGGTTTTGTTTGTGGGCAATTCCACCTTCAGAAACATAATTAGGTTTGTGTTGGAAGTGTAAACCACAAAGTGAATTTTCTGCCTGATGAAAAAGGTGGTAGATGTCCTCTAGATTGCTCGGTAGTCAGCTATTGTTGTGTACATCGACACCAGTAGCATGAGGAACTGTAATAACGAATTCCTGGAAAGAGGTTGATAATCCAGATGTACAAGAGTAGCATTTTGTGAATTAGAAAGACTTTAGAACTGCTGGTCACTGAAGGACATTATTGGTCAAGCAAAGGCACAAGTACCTTTTGAACCAGGATGGGATTGTGCTACGAATGTATAACAGAAGCAAAAAACATTTCTTAAACCAAAAATTGGGGGAAAGCCAACAGAAGCTGGG